ACAAGAAACCGCTGTTGGTTTTTCAAAGCGTGATAAAAAAAAATGTATACTACTGTTTAGTTTACTTTTCACTTCATTAATCGCTTCACCAAACTGCTTTATTAAACCTGTGGTTGGTCAATCACCTACTTTAAAATTTCCTGCATGAAAAAAACACTTAGACACATAAAATATATTTTTAAAGACTTCTATTGTTTTTTTTTTTTAATTACAATAAGAAATTAATTAGATCAAATATTTTATGGATGGTAAAGACTTTACAAATCATACAAATTTAGAGCAGAACTGATTAAAATACTGCAGTTATTTTTGGTTCACTATTCCTTTAAGATTTCAGCAAGTGTACACTCTTTCATTCATAAAATAAACTGCTTTTTTTAGAATAGCATGCCTTTCCATGCCTGTTGGATGAACAGAAAAACTATCAATATTCAACTAGTTCTGTCAGTATCAAAAATCACACTAAAAAATCTGTGTGTCAAAGCTGATATTTGTCAGCAAAGCAAAGGTAAATGTGTTTTTCATGCATTGACACCACAGAGAAACCATTATTGCACCTTTAAAGAACTTTCAGTAACACTTCTTAAAGCAGGGGTGTCCAAACTTGGTCCAGGAGGGCCTGTGTCCTGCACATTTTATTTCCATACCCAATTAAACACACCCGAACCAGCTAATTAGGCACTTTAGGTATACTACCTTCAGGGAGGTGTGTTGAAGGAAGTTGGAGCTAAACTATGCAGGACACCGGCCCTCCAGAACTGAGTTTGGACACCCGTCTTCAAGGAAGCAACAATATTTTAATAATTCAAATAACATTTCCAAGTTTAAAAAAAAAAGGTTTAAATCAAGCGGTTAAAAATGTATACATTAATAATTTTTTGCCAATTTTTCACAATTCAACCTCCCTCCTTCTTATTTTTTAGGTCAGGAGCTATGTCCATCTAAATATTCCAGACTTTGATGATTTATCTCTAGAAGGCGAGTTATTTGATTTATTTTTAAACTCTCCAAATGCTAAGAGCCTAACATCTTTATTTGTTAATGCTTTTAAAAAGAAAACAGATTTTTCCTCTCTTAATTTGAAAGTTGCTTGGGAAGAAGAATAGGAATTTAATCTCTGAGACTGATTGGGATCAATTCCTTTTATCAGTTTATTTTTGTTCTATAAATTCTAGACACAACCTTATTCAGTACAAAGTATTACACAGACTTCACTATTGAAAAACAAAGCTTAGTAAATTCTATCCCTTGGATTCCCCCACATGCAACAAGTGTAAAGCTGCTGAGGCACATCTTTTTTGGTTCTGTGTACAAATTCAGATTTTTTGGTAAGAGATGTTTCAGTTCTTTGCTGAGGTTTACGATTGTGTTTTACTGCCTGACCCAATCATATTAATTTTTGGAGGGTCAGATTTTCTGGAGACTCTTAACCGAAATATACAATTACCTGTTCAGTATGCCATGATCATAGCTAAAAAAGTTATCCTTTGTTTCTGAAGGAAAAATGTTAGGCCTCTTTTTTTCTGTCTGGCTTCTCCACTTTACATTTGAATTAGATTTAGAATTAGAATTAGATTTACAGAGCTCAGCATAATTTAGTACACCCCATTTTGAAAATGAATATTTTTATTCTCATTGAATATGGGCAATGCATTTTAATGCATTTAAACAAAAGAGATTTATTAAACAGATATATTTATTAAAATAATATTTAGTCACCAAACATATTTAGAAATTGAAAGATAATACAATTAAATTCAAGCTAAATATTGCAAAAATAAATTACAACCTACAAATTTTCAACAAAAGTTTTCCATGTTTTTCCTTCTCTTGATTTTTCCTCTTTTTGAAATGTGTATTTAATATTTTTCTTTAACATATAAATTTGGGTGTACTAGTTTTTGGACTGTTATCACAAGTTATTTTGTTAGATAAGCTCCAGATTTGGCTTCAGTACTGACTAGTCTATTGTATGTGCCACATATAATATTGTATAGCTTCCTATTAAAAATATGAATTCAAAAGATAAATTTGCGAGGGGTGTACTTATATATGCTGAGCACTGTACCACTTCTGGGAACTGCGAAATTTGATAAAATGTGGGATCCAGTCTTTTTTCTAAAACACTGCAATGACTAATAGTGTTGTTTAATTTCTGAATTTTTTTCTTCTCTCTCTCTCTTTACATCCATTGCTGTGTCTTTTTGTAGGTCATATTTTCCCTTGTTTCATGCTTTATTTTACATGTTGCACAGATTATTGTTTGATGATGGGTTTTTCTGTCTGTTCTGTTCCTTGTTTCTCCATGTCTGCAAAAACTACAATAAAAGAAAACCTATTTTGTAGTGGTACCACAGAAAAAAAAATGTTCCCTGGGAAACCTTACAGTCAAGAGTTCTTAAAATATTATTTTTTTTCTCAGAGTGAAAAACATTTTATTTCATAATGATCTAAAGAACAAAAAAAAAAGTGGTTCCCGGAGGAACCTTTCAGTCAAGAATTCTTAAAAGAAATTTTGATTTATAATAATCTCAAGGAATGATATTCTTTTTTTTTTTTTAGTCTAGAGTTTCTAAAATAACAATTTATTTTCACAGAAGGAAGAATATTTTAATTTGAAATGATCTAAAAACCTTTTTCCACTTTAAATAACTTTTCTAGAATGGAAAGTTTCCAAAAATGTTAAAGTTTCTTCATGGAATTATTGTTCCTAAAAAAGAACCTTTAATTTCAAAAAGCATAAATATACTTTTTCTGGGAGTTGCCGGGGATTTTCCATACCTGTACTTCATGCCAGTGAGTTTCCCAGTGGACTCCTTCAGGGAAATGTGGTGCCTGTGCGTGAAGGAGCCCAGGCTGCGAGCGATCAGAGCCACCGTCCGGAAGCGTGCCCGGGCTGCGCTTGCCGTGTTGGGACTGGACGTGTTCTGCTTGTTTGGCTCGCTGGTGCGCGGGGCCTTCAACCCATGATCCGTACATGCGAATGACACCTGCATGGCTGCTGACTGCAAAGAAAAACCCACACAGCTTGTCCTGAAAAAGAATCAGGATGCAGTTCTGAATTGGATCTGAGTTTATAGTCGCTACTTCTGAAACTCTGGCTCCCTCTGTCCCAACAGCAGCTGATTCTGATGCTCTTATCCTCTGTGATGCTGCTTTGCCCTTCACTCTTGCCTCCTTTCTTATCACTCTTTCCCCTCCGACCCTCACCGGTGTTCCTTCTCACGCTGTTGAGGGGGGTTTTCTTCTCCAGCCCACGCTTCTCAGCGAGACTATAAGAGCACCGCAGGAGAGGTACAGCAATGCAACAGACTCCGGGACTCTGGGAAAACACTCAGCAAACCGGTTGATCGATGTATTCCTGAAACTCCAGGATGGAGCCGGACCCCTTTCCGAACGCCGTCCAGACGAACGAGCTGCAAGGTGAAAAACAAGCCACGTCCCGCATCTAAATGTCCCTCTCAACAAAAAGCAGGTCCAACAGTCAGTTTGATGAAGAAATATGTAGACGGAAGCAGACAGGCGGAGGAGAGGACGAAGAGAGAGAGGGATGCAGCATGATCACCGGGGCTGTAAGTGAAGCTGTGAAGTCAAGCTTAGAGACGGAGAGAGTGAGTGTGAAATAGGAGGCATGAAAGCGCAGCATGTGAGAATGATGCTCAATCAGAGCCGATAAGAGGGAGGAGAGAGAGAGAGAGAGAGAGAGAGAGAGAGAGAGAGACTGCAATGAGACTGAAATAACTGCAGTCTCTCACCAGCGGCTCAGTGCTGTTCTCAACAGCGAGAGTGAAGAAGACAATCCATCTGGATGGGACTGTGTGTGTGAGTGTGATATGCTTGGATACGTTTATAATGCAGATGTCATTCTAATTTCACAGCGAGTCACATGGAGTCCACTGCGAAAACTTGAAAAAGGGGGTGATGGAACAGTTAATCATTGAATCGACATCTTGCCATTTCTTTACCATATATTTCAACTGCTGTAAGATGTTAATGAGACATCTGGTTGTCAGCTGAAATGCAACATACAACATTAATGTGAAAGCTGAGCTTAACTGTCCTAAAAGCTGTAAGGCTACTGTCAGGTCACGCAATGTATTTGGCACATTTCCGACACTGCTTTCCTAGAAATTTCCTTTGTGCTGCAGTGGCATTAAGACAATGATTGAACAAAACATGCATTCAGTAAAGAAGCTCCAAACTTGACATTAAAGCCCAAGTGCTGCATATAAACAAAAGCATTTGAACCAAAGTGACTGGTGCACTCAGACATTTAATATTGAACCTGATTGAACTTGAAAATATTATTTTTATTTCTCCTCTAACCAGAGTGGACCAGAGTACACAGTCTTTCGCACAAAATAGGATTGTGTTTTTTAGGAATTACAAGCCAGAACTTGACAGAAACCCAAGGTCATGTGTGAAAGAACTGGCCAAAACTGGCCTGCAATGTCCTGGCTGGCTCAGGTCCTAGAGTAAAACTGAATATCAAAAGGATGTCAACCAATCATAGTAACAATTAAATACATTTAGGCACTGTTTACACTGCCAATTAAATGTGACCCAATTCAGATCGGATCTGTTCTATGACCGTGTAAAACGAATGCATTCAGATATTCTGTGATCGGTTTCAGGCCTCTTTATATGTGAAAATAAATCAGATGTAAATCATATATGTGACAATGTGACTATCATGTAAACATGCAGATCAGATTTATTGAGGCATTTTGTTTGTCATTAAACTTGCGGCAATGAGGTACTTCTCCACAGTTTAATGACGTAGAAGGAAGAGCGTGTGTGGAGACGCCAACACAGTAAACAACAACAACAGAGAAAACATAGAGGAGAAAAGAGGCCAGTCGCCACAATTTGCACCCACCAGACCTGAGATCTCTCTCGTACCCACAAATTCCTCTGAATGGTGGAGGATACCATATAGAAACCACAGGCGCAAGCTGGGTGTCACGAATGGGTATCACAAAAACAAGGGAAAGATCCAAATGCAGCAAAACACATTTATTGTCAAACAATAAAGATCCCCAAAAAAATGACAAAGGGACAGGCAAGGTACCAAAATCGAGGAAAACATGAAGTGCAAAAATTAAGCTCAAAAGTGAATCAAACACAAACTAAACAGATATCCAAAAACATAGTAATGATACTAAACAAAGTGAACAAACAAACAAACCAAACACGATGAACCAGATCACGAATAAAGCACGACAAACCTAAACAGAACATTGAAAAATCCAAAGGCAAACTAAACACAACATAACAGGGCTTATAAAGAGAGAACTAATTAGACAATGAGGGACAGCTGGAAACAAGGAGTGATCACATGACTAGGATACAAAACACAAAAACCAAAACAAAAACTGGTGCCCTTGAAAACCACCAGAGGGCACTGCAGCAGGTGTGACATTACCCCCCCTTTAAGGAGTGGCTACCAGACACTCCCAAAAACACCCATCTAGGAGGGAGGCGGAACGGAGGTGGACCAGGGGAGGGATGGTGGGACAGACCAACACTACAAACCAAACAAAAAAAAATCCTTATAACACAAAACAAGGAATCAAAGAGAGTCTGTAAGGGCTTAAGAAGAGTCTAAGGAACTGGTTACTGAAAGAGTCTCGACATATCAATACCCAAATATAGGACCACCATGGTGGTACCATAGGGGAGTAGGTCCCTTTTAGCCAGTTGTGGTTCCACCAATTTAAAACTGGTGGGTTTGGTAGCCCCCCACATGGAACAGAGGACCATCCTGAGGGTCCAGATGAGATGTCCGTTTTCCTCCATGGGGCATTAACTGGTGTAAAAGGCAAGGACCCACTGGCTCTTGAGAATGTTGGTTTGCCAGCACCCGAAAACAAGGGTCCGCCGCCACTTGTGGGCAAGGACTCAGCATTTGAGAGCGTGGGTCCACCAGCGCTTGAGGGTGAGGTTCCGCCGGCGCTTGAGGGTGAGGGTCCGCCGGCGCTTGAGGGCGAGGGTCCGCCGGCGCTTGAGGGCGAGGGCCCGCCGGCGCTTGAGGGTGAGGGCCCGCCGGCGCTTGAGGGCGAGGGCCCGCCGGCGCTTGAGAGCGTGGGTCCACCGGCGCTTGAGGGTGAGGTTCCGCCGGCGCTTGAGGGCGTGGGTCCGCCGGCGCTTGAGGGCGTGGGTCCGCCGGCGCTTGAGGGCGTGGGTCCGCCGGCGCTTGAGGGCGTGGGTCCGCCGGCGCTTGAGGGCGTGGGTCCGCCAACGCTTGAGGGCGTGGGTCCGCCAACGCTTGAGGGCGTGGGTCCGCCAACGCTTGAGGGCGAGGGCCCGCCAACGCTTGAGGGCGAGGGCCCGCCAACGCTTGAGGGCGAGGGCCCGCCAGTGCTTGAGGGCGAGGACCCGCCAACGCTTGAGGGCGAGGTTCCGCCGGCGCTTGAGGGCGTGGGTCCGCCGGCGCTTGAGGGCGTGGGTCCGCCAACGCTTAAGGGCGGGGGTCCGCCGGCGCTTGAGGGCGGGGGTCCGCCGGCGCTTGAGGGCGGGGGTCCGCCGGCGCTTGAGGGCGGGGGTCCGCCGGCGCTTGAGGGCGGGGGTCCGCCGGCGCTTGAGGGCGGGGGTCCGCTGGCGCTTGAGGGCGGGGGTCCGCCGGCGCTTGAAGGCGGGGGTCCGCCGGTGCTTGAGGGCGGGGGTCCGCCGGCGCTTGAAGGTGAGGGTCCACCAATGCTTGAGGGCGAGGGTCCACTGGAGCTTGAAGACCCGCCGGCACTTAAAGGTGAATGCTCACCAAGGCTTGTGGACGAAGGCTCACTGGTACTGGGAAACAAGGACTCAAGAAAACCAAAAAATGAGGTTTCCAAAGTAATAGAAAAAACTGGTTCTATAAGAACAGAAAAATCAAAGTCAGAAAAATAAGGATTCCCCCAACTCTAAAGATGAATCCTCCGAACAAGTTGTTTCAAAACTAGTCAAGGGTTCAGGCACTGGTTTGAAGATAGCTGTGGTATGGCACTGAAGCTCAGAGCTTTTGACTATCTTTGGCAATTGCTGCAAAGTGGCCACAATCTTAGGCATGAAATCTAAATTAATGTCCATCTTGCAAAAAGGTTCAGAAGTATGAGCTTTGTTTAAACAAAATTCCAAATCATCAGCCATTTTAGAAAGTGGGCCTGGAGCAAAAACAAACTCGAAGGGTGTCTCAGGACTAGTATTGTAGGCTGAGTCGCAACACTATCCAAAATTTCATGAAGTGAGTCAATAAGCTCTAAGGCCATGCAAAGACAGTCAGGGGCAATGGTATCTTTAGGTGGGGCTTCTGAAGTTAAAGTCATCTTGGGAACAGAATTAACTTTTAGACTATTCACTTTGAGGTGGACAACAAACTCCCAAAATTGATTGATCCCAAGTTCATCCATCCCCTTAATAGAAAGAGGATAATCAAGACATTGATTAAATATAGTCATCAGTTCATAGTCCGATAAGCCCAGTCCCACAGCCAAAGTCCAAAATGACTGAGCAAAAGCTCCTACCTCCCAACCCTGCTGACGTTCAGCCACCAATGCTTGAAGACGAAGTGACCGCTCCCTTTCAGTCACTGGAGGAACCATTCGGAGACTCATACTTGACAAAAACCAAAGCAAAAATAGGGGAGAAAAACTGGGGCGAGAGAGAGAGAGGGAAAAAAATGCTGCTGGATCTTGGTAATGGCCTTTGGATTATGTCACGAATGGGTATCACAAAAACAAGGGAAAGATCCAAATGCAGCAAAACACATTTATTGTCAAACAATAAAGATCCCCAAAAAAATGACAAAGGGACAGGCAAGGTACCAAAATCGAGGAAAACATGAAGTGCAAAAATTAAGCTCAAAAGTGAATCAAACACAAACTAAACAGATATCCAAAAACATAGTAATGATACTAAACAAAGTGAACAAACAAACAAACCAAACACGATGAACCAGATCACGAATAAAGCACGACAAACCTAAACAGAACATTGAAAAATCCAAAGGCAAACTAAACACAACATAACAGGGCTTATAAAGAGAGAACTAATTAGACAATGAGGGACAGCTGGAAACAAGGAGTGATCACATGACTAGGATACAAAACACAAAAACCAAAACAAAAACTGGTGCCCTTGAAAACCACCAGAGGGCACTGCAGCAGGTGTGACACTGGGATGATGACAGTTTCCCTCTTCCTCCGCCTATAAGTCAATTTAAAGTTGGGCAAACTTTGCATTTTTTCAGAGCTAAAAGCAAGACAATTTCTTTCATCGTGGCTACTGTGATACAGATGCAAGAACCTGCCTTTACGTATGTGTGGCGTCGTAAATTGTATGGCAAGTGTAAACACATGAATCATATATGTGTCACAATTAAAAAAAACGTGTAAACGGACAGGCAAAAAAAATCTGATATAGGCAACAAATTGGAATTGGGCATCAAGACCTGACAGTGAAAGCGGGGCCTTAGACATGAGAAGTTGCTGGGCATTCCAGACTTTTTTAGAAAGCCTGTATTTATGAGTTGAAAGCACATAAACACCACCAGGCCCGCGCAGAGACCTTCAAAGAGGCATGTGCAGGATAAAGGGGGAGGGGGGGGGGTGTTGTCACAGGTTGAGTGCACGTGTCTGAACACTACCACAAAGTGGTAATTATAAGGGGAAACAGATTTCTTTAAGCCTCAGGTTTTTTAACCTTTACAAAGCATCTTTACAGTAAATTTGTTGAATTATTATTTTTTTCCTCATTTACAATAAAACTGTTGTACTTGTATCTTCAAAATACAATATTTTTGTAAAGTTGCAATAAAATACATGACAATTCAGTTTATAGAAAGTTCATAAACAGAATACAACAACAACAACACCCAACTGATTCGTTTAAGAACACTATTTACCTACCAACAAAACAAGTGACTGCTGTTATGAGTGAGTTATTAAATGAATCACTCAAATGATTAGTTCAAGAGCACTATTCATCTACCAACAAAACAAGTAACTGTCCTTATAAGTGAGTAATTAAGTGATTCACTCAAATGATCCACTCTAAATGATTAGAGAACACTATTCACCTACCAACAAAACAAGTGATTGTCTGAGTAAGTTATTAATCGGTTCACATAATGTATTCTTTCAAGAACACTATTCACCTACCGACAAAACAAGTCACTGTTTATGTGTGAGATATTAAATGATACACTCAAACGATTCCTTCTTAAACACTATTCACCTACCATCAAAACAAGTAACTGTCCTTATGAGTGAGTAATTAAATGGCTCACTCAAATGGTTCATTTAAGAAAACTATTCACTTAATAACAAATCAACTATCTTCATGAGTGAGTTATTAAGAAATTCACTCAAATGATTTGCTTAAATAATTTGTTTAGAACACTATTCACCTACCAACAAAACAAGTGATTGTCTAAGTGAGTTATTAACTGATTCACTCAAATGATTCATTCAAGAACACTATTCACCTACCAACAAAGCAAGTGACTGTCTTTACGAACGAGTTATTAAATGATTCACTCAAATGATTCATTCAAGAACACCAACAAAACACGTACTTGTCTGAGTTATTAACTGATTGACTCAAATGATTTGTTTAAGAACACTATTTACCTACCAACAAAGCAAGTGACTGCCTTTATGAGTGAGTTATTAAATGATTTGTTTAACAAATCGACTAACTGTCTTTATGAGTGAGTTATTAAGTGATTCATTTAAAAGATTCAGTCAAATGATTCATTTAGGAACACTATTCACCTACCAACTAGGCAACTGACTGTCTTTAATAATGAGTCATTAACTGATTCACTCACATGATTCGTTCAAGAACACTATTCACCTGCCAACAAAGCAAGTGATTGTCTTTGCTGTTGCTCAGCCAACATTGCTGTCTAAAACTGGCTGAATTTCCTGAAAGAGAATGACGTTTTTATTAAAAAAATTTTCAACTGTTTGCCAAAGCATGCGACTATAGCCTATGCCTACATTAAGATATTTATGTTAATATTTTTTTTACTGCCTGTTGTTTCTTTTGGCATATAAAATAGGTATTGTCTGATAGAGATATCAATAAGGTTCATCTGTGTCGCAGAACTGTGTTGTTTCCGATTTCTACAAGCTCAATAACATCCACAGCAAAAAATAAAAAATAGTCGAAAAACTGTGCCAATTAATTAGATGTGCAAGGCAAGCAGGTACGTTTTTGGGGTTGCTATGGACAACTACAAATGTAAACATTATTAGGCTATAATGTAAATGACTTATTATTCTATCTATTTACTAAAAAATTAATTCAAATTAAATTAGGCATTTAGTAGTAGGCTAAATAGCAGCATGTTGAAATGATGTGTCAATGCGTTTTCTATTAGGCTACAATAAAAAAAATTGTACAGTACAGTGCGTTTAATTTAGGCTATTTATTTATTTTTGTCCCTGTGCGCCGATTGGAGACGGAGTTCACTGCTGATATTCTGAGAGCTCGGGTGGTTCTCATTTCTTATTTGTGCATCCTCGTTTCCTTTCCTTGCTTTCTTTCCTCGTGTTTCCACCCCACCGGGATAACGTTACGAGGGAAGGACGCAAAAAGACTGAAGGACCGAGGAATCGAATCAAGTGAAAAGACACGTCCTCGTATCTTTAGCGTAACTTCAAAGCGTCGTCAATTAATGACTTGCACGTTTGGATTAACTGCATGTCTACATTCAAGTCATTCTCTGTTCTATAATGATCGATAAAGAAACATTCATTTAATAAAAAAAGGAATAAGCCATTCAAATAAAGAGCCCAATCAGCAGATGGCGGGCGGGTGCGGTTTTAAAAATTGGTCAAAAATGTTACTGCAGATGGATGGCGGACGGATGATGAATTTTGTCATGCGGTTGCGGATGAAATAATAGCCCATCCGCGCATCTCTAGTACACAAACAGCTTTGACCTCAAAGAAATCAGACATGGACTAAAGTGCCACAAAGGTGCTGGATCTACTACTCTGTGCCTTGGCCCTCTAGGACTGCATCTGAATAGCACTACTCTGTCTCACAGTCTTAACTGAGTGTAAGTGTGTCACTAAAGTAAGCTTAATCTGAGACTGTCACACTTTGGCGTCCCCTGATGGAAAAACTATTCTGGCACCCAGAGACAAAGATCTCTCTAAACGTCCCCCTGATAATGAGACTCAGTCAGAGATCACCCACTTTATTATACTCTCGTCCAAATAAAGAGCTCTGGCAGGAAATTAGTTTAGTCAAACATGGTTTTGCATGAGCTCTCCAAGGACACCGCTCCCTCATTTTTAACATCTTTATACAGATTTATTATCATCAACTGGGAAGTTTCTCCTCTCTAAGAACAGCTGAGAAAGTCACTGATTTAGAAACACGATTAAATGTGAAAAATTGGTGTGGATGTCACTGTGAGATAAGTAAAAGATACAGCAGGCTGGATCTGAATGACTGTTTGGCCTTCTGAATTGAATTTAAGGTTATAAGAAGCTTGTGTAGACAAATATGTCATGATAATTAATAGTATTGTTCATTAGGAATAATAATAATCTTTATTCATTCATTCATTTATTTTCATTCGTCTTAGTCCATTTATTTATCATAAGGTCACCACAGCGGAATGAACCGCCAACTTATCCATATGTTTTACACAGCAGATGCCCTTCCAGCTGCAACCCAGTACTGGGAAACACCCATACACATTCATTCACACACATACACTATGGACAATTTAACTTACCCAATTCACCTATAGCGCATGTCTTTGGACTGTGGGGGAAACTGGAGCACCTGGAGGAAACCCACACTAACACAAAAATGCTAACTGACCCAGCTAGGACTCGAACCAGCAACCTTCTTGCTGTGAGGCGACAGTGCTAACCACTGAGCCACCGTGTCGCCTATAATCTTTATATTTTTAAAGAAATTTTAAAAGCAGCTTCTCAAAGCTCTGAAAAAAGCAGGACATTTACAAACTCTCTATGTATATTTAATTACCTTACATGAATCTCAAGCTTCAGACTGTAATAAATGTGCTTAATACCTTTTGCCAAGGCTGTGGTTTCAAGCTAATAAGGTGGTAAATATTGCATTTTATGAATCTTCAAGGACCACAATTTTAGCGAAAAACCTTCTTTAATGTTTTACCAAAGGAAAAAAGTCACATACATCTTGGATGACCTGGGAGTGAGTAAATCAACCTAGGCTAATTCTGAAAATGTACCGCTATATAGACTCATGGAGTGAGCCAAATATGTCCCAGAAGGTACAGTTTTTTTTTTTTGCAGTTTTTGTTTCCCCAATTCCACTTTAGTTATTTCACTTTAATTAAAATTTTAAATTCTACAATTAAATTTTAAATTTACTTTAACATTGCATTTATGTTTATCAGTGCAGCAAATTAAACTGAATAAAACTGAGAAATGTAGCTTTTTATAAGCTGAAAAAAAATAAAATTGCTATAAGTAATGAAAATGCTTTTATACTTTTTATTTTAGTTAACTATAAAAAAAACAGCTTTAGACCAGATACTTTATCTCAGTTTTGGATATTTTCATTTAAAACAAAATGTCATTTAATGTAGTGACATGATTGATTA